CATTAGGCGCCATCAGGTGGTGATACCCCAACTCCAGTGTAGCAGCGGAAATTTCCGCCACACGCGAGTTTCGAACTCGCATCTCTCCGGCCAGGGGCGAACGCTCTAATCATTGAGCTACTAGTCCGCCGTTTTGCCGGAGTTGCAAGGTCTACAGGCACAACAGACCGAAACTTGATGGGGGGATATTTAGGTCGAAGGATGGACCATGCGGCGACGTAACGTCCTCTCTTATGCAAACCCAGAGTGTCTCCTTCCCAGGCTTTGCAAGCCAGCAATCAGGACATCAAGAACAGAATCAAGAAGTCAATGTGACGAAACGCTCGTTCAAAGCCTACCTCGGTGCCTTCGCTTCGGTCGGACGCCTCAGCAGTCATACCGGGTCGTAGAGCGCGTAACATACCACGCCTGCTGAGGGGCCTAGAACGCCGACGACCTTTAATCGAGCCGCATCCGAAGAAGAAGAAGAAGAAGAAGAAGAAGAAGAAGAAGAAGAAGAAGAAGCGAAAGATGTTGTCCTACTGGCAGAACCACGAAGAGCCCGATGGTGGCAATCTTATTCCGGAGGTCAGGTCAAACTCATCAAAATGCTTAACAGTTTGGTTCAACGAATTTGTTTTCTTTGTTTCACCTTACTGGTCGACAGAGGAAGGAGAGGCCTACAGCAGATGTCGAGAGATGTGGAGACGCCGGAGCCCAGCTTCAGCACCGTTGGTAAGAAATCATGTTTGAACCGACTGTACGCACAATCACGGGCTCGCTCAGTCTGGACGCTGTCTTGCAAAACCAAAAGGCACGTCCCTATCATATTCATCAGCAATACCAGGACAACCGTGAATAGCAGCATCAATAGCGCCGGTAGACGCATCAAACGCTTCCAGTTTCTTCGACATCGTCTAGATAAGCAGAGGATCTTGCTCGACAGCGCAGTCAAAATAAACCTACGGAGAGCCCTGGATGATTCAGACTACGGGATCGATGGAGGAACAGAACGTTGCAGGTCAGGGTCCATCTCTCCCACTGACTTGGAAGGCTGAAGCATTTCCCAGTTTGAGGCCGAGGACTATCACTGCACGTGGTCAAGAAAGTTGGGCATGATTAAAGCAGTAGAGGCAGATGCAGACACCTTCTTCGAGCTCTTAAACAGGAAGACAAGATCCCCCTTTGATCCCGGTCTGGTTTTCCTCAAGCCACCACCACTGTCAACCCAAGTGAATGGGGAAAGTGAGCAGTCAGCAGCAGAGGTTTCAACCTCCAACTCCAACATGGAAATCTTCTTTTAGGAAGGAAATACCAGCAACGAAGAGTCAGTAACACCTACCACGGTCGCAGCAAAGTGAGCCGCTGCACTAAGGTCCTCAAGGCTGTAGCGGGCAAATCACGGGGCTGCACGAAAGAGACTTTGCCGACCACATTCAAAGCGCTGGTCGGGCCGTACCTTACTTTTGCGGCACTAATCTAGGCTCCTACGGCCAGCTCTTCCAGCTTCCGCCGCCGCCTTCAGTCATCTCAGAACATTGCCCTCTGCACAATCACGGGTTGCTATAAAATGTTACCTATCGATCATCTTCATGCATAGGCTTCTGTCCTGCCGGTCGCCCATCACAACACACTCCTAGGCTAGCAGTTCTGGTGGACCTGTTCGCAACCCGGCCATCCTGATGACCACCGTTCCCACGCTCCTGAGCCTAGCCGTAACGTTCGGTCGTCAATTCGAGCTCTCCACAAGGCAGCTGTCGCCTCGTCTCTCTCAGATCTACCCG